GCGTGCATAATGTATCTCGGTAATCTAGTTACCGTGTAGATTAGCTAACGGACGCACATCAACACGATCGCGTCATTTTATTTATTTTCGCATTACACGTATACTGCATTACATGAATAATATCGATGATGAATGTCAACTATTGTATAATAACGTATCGTTTTCTGCACGCGTGGATGATTTTGGTATCAACATATGACAACACTAACCAACGTAAAATGCTCAAGTTAAATAAATATGAATGCAGGGAATTTTAGCTTTTTATCTGTCAGACAATTAGTATTAGAATATTGTACGTGTATTAACGAAACATACATTTTTTCTCTTTCGTTCAATATGTTCTGTATGCATTATAATATCATTAGATAAACCGCGGAACAAAAGACAAACGTGTTTGCCTCGTTCAAACAATTCTTTTTCTGTTTATAAAAGTTCACGCAGTAAAATAGATTTTAAAATATTTTATTAACTCTCACGCAGCGATGTAACAGGTTACATACATTTCTCTCTTTTTGATTTTTATCCAGTAAAGTTTATATTGACATTTTTCTACAAAACATGCTTTTCAGTTAGTTGAATATCTATCTAGATTTAGTTATGTACGCAGTAACATTTGCTTGATAAACGAGCAAAACATTTGTTTATGCTATCTAGAACGAATCATCCCTTAAGGGATATTATTGCTTTTATGCAGCATCATGTACTGAATATATGTCACAGATCTTCCAACAATTTACCATAAATGCTGAATGATTAAAATACGTGGAAACAGCCGTGAAGCAGCGAGTTGCGGATGATGTTAATATTCCTTGGAATAAGATTGTATTTAATATATCTTCAAAATGAATCGTCAACGCGACGTTATGATACGGGAGAAATATTACTTTTCCTATATGAGCGAAGGAAATTCAATCACGCTCGGTTAAATTCCTTTTCCATAGAGAGAGAGCAAATCGTGGATATCTCTCTTTTCTCTCTTTCTCTATTAGTTTCTCTCTCAGTCTTCCTCTTTCTGTCTATCTATTTATCTTTACCCATCTATCTGTTCCACACTCTCTTCCACATTGAGTTTCTTTGGTGGCATGCGATAGTGTTCTGGTTAGTCTGTAGATTGTCGAAAGGCGATCGATCGATCCCCTAATACGGAATGGCCTTTAGAGAGGGAGAACAACCCTCTCTCGTTCGATGCGTGAGCGAGGAGAGCGGTCGTCTCCGGTTTAATCGCGATATTTATTCTTAGCTTAACATACAAACACATACACGGTTTTTGTCATTTAAAATAGCGCAGTAGCAGGTGCAGACGTAGGTACATACAGCCGCTGTTTTTAGGGACTTTATCAGTAGATGTTGTGCACGTCTAACTGCGACATACAACGCTATTCATTTGCGGCGCAGAGCGATGTAATCCGGCGAAGATAGCTTCTACTTCAAATTAAAATTAAAGTAGGTATTCGATAGTATACCTTTTTGAGAATTTAATTAAAATGATTCTATAAAACCCCACTTGACGAAGCCTTTAACAAGTAATACAAACGGTCTTTATTACGATATTTAATTACATCTCATTTCTCTCATTTCAAAAGTGACACAACTCAAAAATTGGATTTTCCAAAAAAGGGAAAACATTATTTTTTAATTTAACGGAAAATTATTAATTAATCAAATAATATAGGCAAAAAGAATTGGTATATTTTTATTAACATAAAATGTCATTTTGTCATTTTCGTTTCTCAATCCTTAAAATCTATCTTGTTTGAGTTATAATGATTTTTTGTGAAATAAAATTAATTTACTTTTGATGACTCTGATAGGGTAATGTTTATCTAACTTATTCGTCAATAACTCAAAAATCATGATTTTTTAGTTGTGTAATTTTTGAAGTGAAGAAGCGATATCATACTGTATAGTGTTAACAATAATAATAGAAAATAAGAACCAATCTGAAAATGTGGAAACCCCAATTTCTGTCTCTATAGTGTATTTAACTTCGTAAATTTCAGTATCTTTCGATTCAATCCGACTCACTTGCAGGAGCGATACGATATACATATAAGAGGTGCGGTAGCGTACGTGTGAACTCAATTATGCCACCTTGTCCGAGATAACGGATTTTATTGTCGCCGGCATGATAAAAATATCGAGCGGACGTGCAACGGAATGGCGCGTCTATGACCTTTTGACCGGGACGCTCGAATGAAAAATTGATCGGATCTACGGTTTCGTCTTCCCCGTTGTTCGTCGTGAAGCGCCGCAACTCATGATTCCACTGTTGCGGGTACACAGGTAGTCTAGCTTGGGGTCACATCGGGCATACCTCACATCATTCCATATAACACGCGGGTGACGTATTCGCGACATGTATAGGCGCATACCGAGGCAAAGAGGAAGGGGGATGAGAACGATCGTGAACGTCCTGCGTGTTGTACACGCATTACAATGTACATCGATGCGCGGCGATCGACGAAAGGGATATACACCCACTCGGAACATCACTCCTCGGTCAGCTTCAGCCGCAAATTACGCTTCTATCGCGTTACCACAAATCGCGAGATGAAAGTAGCACAATACACATAGATATACGTACATATTATACACAAACGTAGGTTGTCATTGGCTCATGCCTCAAGGAATACCGCCGCAAAATTGCATTTTTTCGACAAGAACTATGCAACCGTTTTAATTTGTACGTTGCAATGATGATTGTAACGATTGTAACGCATTTACGCGCTCACAGACTTCGTTGCCGCAGACTACCGATTCTCGCGTTTAGATTTCCCTCATATTCAGCAGATTGTCGATTGGCTTTTACTTCTGATAATAACAGTATTGCTGTTACCAAGTTTTGGTAGTAATGTAAGTGATATTCGTGAATAAAAAACAATAAGGAAAATTATTTAATGCATTAACGTAACATAATATATGTTACGTCTAATTTTGAGTAGTCTATCCATGATAGACTTCCTTCTACAGATAAGTTTTCAGGTTTTCAGAGTACGCTCAAAAGGGACAGCTTTATATGTATCGCATATATCCGTTTATAATTACAATCTTTACGCGAACAGCGCGTGTTTTGTATGCTTGTTCCTAAAGGATGAAGAAAGAGATCGACATTAATGTGTGTGCTGTAGCATAACTTCATTGATTCATTAATAATCCTGATTAAAACGATGTGCATATATTTTATTCGAGATTTTGCAAAAATACATATATGTTTTAATCTCGCATTTATTATGTCTTGTGTCGATTGTATCTTGTACTAGTGTGAAAGAGTGATTAACATTAACCATACGTTAACATCGCTCATTAACTAAATTTCTAATAAAAATTCTGCACTTTATAACGTTATAAATAGGAACTACAAATAAGAAGATATATCGCGAATTCAGAAAATAGTCTTATAATTTTGACAATGGTTAACTGAAATTATTTATAACTGAATATAACTGAATAATTTATTTAGGTTGACACAAGACATATCTAAATAACTAATATAATTCGTAAAATAAAAAAATTTTTATTTTAAATATCAGTTACAATTTTTGTCTGATTATTAAAATATAGGTACATATGAAATATAGATTTTGTATAAATATAATGCTTTTAATATTATTCTCTATAATTAAACATTGTAAAGTATTTTAAAATATTTCATGATACTCTCTGGCAATTTTTTAATTTTTTATTCATAGAATTTATTGTAAAAGTATTTACCTCTTCATTATATGTAAATTTTACATTAAATACTTTTAAACTTATTCGCGTTAACATTTGAATATCTAGAAATTTGATTTCTATAATCGTCATAAAAAATTAATTTTTTAACTTATTTAGTTATTTGTTACAAACAATATTTATTTGATAAGCAATCAGTAATATTTCTCGATTTCTTAAAAATAAACGAATTATGACATAGCTTTTTACATATACAATAAATGCATTTGGAAAGAAAACTTCTTAAAAAAGGATAACACTAGAACAAATCAAAGATTTAAGCGAATCATGTTGTCGCAAAAATGATGTTAGTTTTCCTAATAAGAACTATACATGACTACCTATAATATATTGAGCGCACAAACTGACATTATGAAAAACCGTGGATATAAACAGATTTTTCAGTAAACTAGATAGAAACATATCGGCACATGTAGTATACGTTAGGTTTAGGTATAGATGTGTAGGACTTATAAATCTATATATATAGGTAGTTTACCTACCCTGCCTTTTTATCTGGATAATGTGTTTCGTACCCAATACATCATTAATTTTCGCAAACGTGACAGTATAGCACTAATCGTGCCTTTAACAGCACAAGCAACAATTCGACATCCTTGGACATCTGAAATATGTCCTAAAGGTCTTGTTTATCTCGTCTTATATTAGACGGCCTAAACTACGTCGCAAGGACGTTGATAATATGTTTAATTTTTCAACAGTACACGAACAGCAAGGTCCGAGAATCGATAACTATCAAACAACTTTATATACTTTTGTCTTGGGACTCAATAACTATTCGGTGTCCCTCTCTTTGTTTTCAATAACTTATAGATCAGAACAGATGAATAATTTCCGAATTATCTGTGCCATTCGGTATTGGACGTATTAACAACGTTTATTTGACGTTTTTGGGCGGTATATTGTATATGTACGCTAGACATTTACGGAATTTGATTTGGACGTCCATACAAAGTCGAATTGCTGTTTGGGTAATTGCGCAGTTTACGAGTTAAAATCTGATTTCGTTTATAAATGCAAATATCCTCTTCCCTTCGTCTCCCCATCGTTTAATGAAAAAAGAAAAGACGTACAGTGTAACCAGCACATAAAGATTACTAGTCACCCCGACACATTGCGACATGACGTCGGAAAAATTAAAAACAACCTACCAATCGATCAACCGAAAGAAATACATGTAAAAAAAAAAGCAAAAGCAAACTACTGCCAACCCTGTCACACAAGTGTATTGATGCGAGTGTTATGTTCTGTTCTATTACGTGGTGTAGGCCATATTCGCCAGTTGTATCCCTGAGATAATTGACCTGATCGGGACGCGAAACAAGTACGGCGGCACTTTGAAGAACGAGCGAGGTCGCAGGTGAGAGACACAACCAACCAATTAGCTTCCCCGATTTAACTCCAGTCCCGACTGCCTCCGTATCCACAATGTCTTCCCGTACACGAAAGACCATGTAACCTTCACCGTGCCCCTCAGCATCTATCTGTTACACCTCTGTTACACTTTTTCTGACACACAGGCGCACACATAACATCCTGATCCCTCACTGATCTAGTTCTCGTGAATGCAGTCTTCCAATAAAAGCGCACGTATGAACATCGATCCTGATTAAGAATTCCCGATTTCGATAAATCCTTATCTTAAATCTATATCTATATTTAGAGATCAGAGTGTTAGAGATCATGTTATCGCAAAACCGCAGTTCCGTACCAGTTCATTGCACTAGTTGTCAGTCGGCCTTAGTGCAGCCGTCGCCCTAAAAACATTCTTGAACTCCAGCCTACCCCAGCAAAACCTTCCCTTCAACAGACCAGACAGCCTATCTACTATCACATCCTACCCACCACACTCAGCAACTGGTGTTAGCTTGTATGTTCACACTGATCGCACTTGGGACAAATACGGCTCGTCACAGTTTGACATATACGTATAAAGCGTAGAACGTGAAACCAAAATTACGAGAAAATTAGCAAGAAGTTTCTTCATTGAAAAGTTTTCAGAAATTTATATAATATTAAAAATCATTGCAAATGTTTTGCATGAAACGTTCTACGTTTTTTTGTTTCGCAAATAAATCGCGAGAGTCTTAAGTGGATTTTAACAAGAGATGTCATGTCTATATATCAACTCATTCGTTCAATGTTCTTGCTTAATTAACCAATATCACAATTATTGCGCCAGCCGTGAACCGTATATTCTCACGAGGGAATTTAAATTGAGACGACACTTAATGCAATCTGTTGTAAACGGATGTGACAACTTTGCGCTTAGTGTGCACAGTTGTGTGTCGCACTGACAAGCCGCAGAAATTCTACGAGTCTTGAGTTAATTATTCAGTATATACATATGTTGGAGCATCGCGGCCGAACGATCTTATTATTATCATTAAACGAACCGCACGCTTTGATATGTCGAGCTGTATTTCTCTCCGAGTGCAAGGGGTTAAACGTCCAGCATGTACCCTGCATTATCCGAACAATTGAATGCGTATATTTTATATATATATATGTATATATGGTATATACACACATATATAATATATGTATATATATAAAATCTAATGTTGTATCACTTCAGTGTAATAATCTTGGTGTTTTAGACAGTATTAATGATTAATGATCGTTTTTGCGTATTCATAAAGAGGGTATAAAAGTGGAGAAGAATATACTACCTAAATAAATATGTATATGTTATTGAGATTACGGGTCTTACATGTAACTCAGGGATTTTGGTTGAGGACATTCTCGGTGAATCAAAATGAACAACGTACATCAGGGACAACTTAGAATTTTTTGGTTTAACTGTCATTCACAACTAGCGCAAGTGTGGCTTTTGTAAGAAGAAGCTACACGACAATAACACGCTGCTGATCGCATCATTCGAGTACCTGATTCAAATACGTGATGACGTGTGCCTACGATCGATGAACGATATACGAGTATCCGCGCGCATATGATAGTAATAACCTAGAAGAGCTTTGTCATGATGATAAATGCTTCGCGAAAATTGCCGTTGACATTTTTAGCCGTCCTTCACGGCATGTGTCATCTGTGCTGCGCACCGTTTTTCATCGACGTTTCGTCGATACTGGTCATCAGATACTCTATGGTTTAATGATTCTGGTTCAACTTCCTAATGGCATTGCAAGCGTGTTTAATAAATTAAACATTCTCTGACTACATAGAGCATGCTCCAATAACGGAACGATTATAGCAAACACCCTTGTGTGAATAATTTCACGTCACGTCAAAAAAAAATCACGGGAATTCGACTTTTATTGTATGAACATGTATAGGCATCCGATTTCTCTCGTATAGGCAATTCGAGATACGACGGGCGCGTTCAATTTTCATTGAAATCCGCGTTACTTCCACTTGATCATCAATTGGGTAGCGATCGACACACGAAAACGACTTTTCTGCAACAGCTCATATCCACGATACATGCTCACATCTCAATACGCACATGGCGTCGGTCTCCTTTACATTTAGAGCAAAAGTAACCAGTAATTCTGCTCGAGTATTATCGCATTGAATCCAGTAGCACCTATCTCGTGGTCCATAAATAATAAGAGAAATGGCGTGATATGGGAAGACTACTGAATTCATGATGAAGCCATATGTCAAACATCACCGAGTAGATGACATAAAGCATGGAATGATCATGGTCGAAATTCCGCTATATTTCCTTTGCGAGTCCGTTGATTATCTTTGGACCTCTCACTTATAATTAGTTTTACTTGTTATGTGACACCTAGAAGTAGGAATACGTCTCTCACTATCGATATGTATACACAGCACGTAGAAATTACACAAGTAGAAGAGAGTTTTGGTTTTGATATACATATAGCGACGACTAACACATGAATGAGCTTGTATAACCGTGCGTATTTGATCTAACACTTATTAGCATTGACTTGTGTATGTACATTATATATCTAGCGGTACTAACTTATCACATAGGTATGTGTATAGTTAACTGGTTAAAATGAATCACTCCAATTCCTAGTGCAATCTTGGTAAGTTCAGTCCACTAATTTAATACTTATTTTTTTAATAAATATGCGCGTGACTCTTTTAAACAGAGCCTGCGTTATTTCAGTGCCAAATAAGTTTTTTTTATTACTTTTTTTTATGATCATCTTAATTTTGTAAAATAAGCTTATTTATTGGTCTTACAATCATTGAGTATTATATTTTTTAAATAATGCCTATTAATGTAAATTTATGTTTTATTCCTTTTTTTTTATATCGGTAAATATAATTAATCTTAAACATAGTATAACTCTTCTAACAAAGATTTTACTATGGCAGCAGACTAAAATGGCACAAAAAGAAAAAAGAAAAAATAATTTTTCATCAATATCAACGTTCTTCTCTCTCTTCTTGTTGTTTTGCTGTTTTTGCTTGTAATCACTGTCTTCATAGATAAATATATATTATCTGTATGTATATTGGAAGAGGCGTGAAATATGTGTTTATTTCGAAAAAGTTTACTCAGCAGAAAGAATAAATTAAAGTGAACAAGAGTTGTAGCAAGAAAGAGAGAATAACTTGAGTAATTGAGTCTGTAGTTGTGACATACATACACTACTTAGAGCGTGTATATGGTAGTTGCTTGAGAGAATTTCCCTTTCTTTTCCTATGTCATACATTAATACCGTCTTTTTACGAATGTAGTCTAATTTGCTGATTGTGTTGGCAGACATATTGTCGTGTGTGGCCACATCACCTACGAATCAGTCTCGCACTTCCTTAAGGATTTCCTACATGAGGATCGCGAGGACGTCGACGTAGAAGTTGTCTTCTTGCATAGGTATGATCGCTGCTTTTGTAAAACTGATATTTTTGCCAGCTCGCACAAAATGCGACACATTAACCCTTACAACATTACCGGATTGTATATTTTGTGTCACGATTGATCGTAGGTAGTTTCGAGGAGGTTAATATTACCTGGAGTAAACGTGTTTTATAAAATTTATCGCTCATCTGATCATTTTATATTATTTATCAATTTTTTATCATCTGTTAATGCATGTGCAAATGACGTCATTTATACGTTATTTGACAATATTCTATTAAATGTACATACACAATATACTCTTTTTACATTTTTACAGGAAATAAAAACTTTACTTTGGTAATATATAATATTGTTTACTTGTACGTAAACAAAACTTATTTGTTGATTACAACAAATACTGTTACCCGAGTCTCACAAACATTTTTAATTTGTTTCTTCATTTCTCTCATACATTAAATACTATTTTATTTTCTATGTTAGCGACTTTGTGGTGAGTATATGTCGCCCTTCAAGAGATTTTGCGTCGCCAAACGACTTAAAGTGATCAGACTCCATTAACTCCGCGTTTTATCGACCGTAAAACTTCGTTATATTCTAGCGAGAGAGGTTTCACACGAATTACAAACAAAAATTCTCCATCAGGGAATCGGATTGTCCAGTAACGCGAAGGATAAGCGAAAAGACTGCGTTTCACGGCTGCCCGTGTAGTCTGATCGCTATAGTCGTAAGGAGTGGTTTGCTTTCTTTCAGGAAAGAGCCGGATCTCGAATTGGAGGGTCTCCTGAAGAGGCATTACACGACCGTGGAGTTTTTTCAGGGCACCATGATGAATGCCGTGGATCTGGAGCGCGTCAAGGTACCCTGAACCCTAGAACAACCACCACACGAAAACCTCCATCAACCAACCAACCCTCCATCAATGCCCTCCACGTGGCCGCTCGTGCTTCTTGTTTCCTTGCAGTTCTTTAGGTTATTACACGGTTATTCGCCTGGGTATAACACGCCGTGATGGTCGATCGATATATATATATATACTTATGTATCTCTTATGCATATATATATTATATATCTATATTTACATACATATATATTTATGTCACACGTCATGCAGTCTCATGTTAATATACGTACATATAATCGCTATCGTTACTTTTTATAGAATCTCTCGTATCTGGTGATTCGTGCGTATTCACATACGCTCGCGAATCACACCAAATGCTCGCTACATTCTTTAGATTTACTTTCTTTCTCTCTCTTTCTCTTTCGATTTTCGCTCTCTTTCTTTTTTCTTTCATGAACTATCGAAACGTCCGGTGCGGCATGATTGAAAACACCAGTTCGCTTCGTTGGAGCACATTTTCCTGTGGTTTTCCGCGTGAGACTCCGATGATTGTTCGAGTTTACTATATTGGAGCTCGCAATATGGTCGTATAAAGTGAGATCTTTCGAGTATATCCTGTGAATGCAAAAACGACGCGGCACCGGACGACGAAAGATATACATACGTGTTTATATATACATATATATATATATATATTTACGTAGCAAAGCAACCGCCTGCGACTGCATGGTATGCTGTATTGAGCTATGGAGCCGACTCAGCTGCAGTAGAGATTTTACTTAGTGATTTATTATTATATATGAGCGTACTCGTTCCCTTTGAGGATGAACCTACAGTTTGTTCAATCTACCATGCATTCGGCTTGATTAGAATGGAAAGACAACTTGAACGAATTGGAAACAATAAGATACATGGATTTTCCTCAAAAGTTACGAGCATGCATAACGAATTTGTATTACATTCACGTTCTAACGAAATCTTCGCCAATTCCTCTATCGGCCTACTCGACCGATATTCTCGCAAAAAAGGACGCGACAGTCGACAGTTGAGGTGAATGTTATTTATAAAAAGAATCATATCGTTTTGTCGGATCCGTTCAGGAAACCGCCTGATCTCGAACTGGAAGGACTGTTCAAGCGGCACTTCACCACCGTGGAGTTCTTTCAGGGGACCATCATGAACCCGATTGATCTACAGCGGGTTAAGGTGAGTTTGTTACCACGATCGAACAATCCTCGATACAAGATATGCGCATTAAACCCCTATATATATATTATATATATATATACTTAAACAGCTCTATCCTGTTACATATAACGGTCCCTACTCTTACTATATTTCTATTTTCCTTTTCTATGTTTGACGTCCTGTGATTCATCGAATCGTCATATTTTGGCGCGCACGGTACCAGCACATCATTATTGCGTAATTAATATGCTTATAAAAGAATTAACGTTTCTTTTAAACAATTTAGAATGTTCTGAAATCTCATTATATTAATCTGAATCTATTGCCTTGTGCTTTTTTTTACTAATGATTTTTCTGCATCTCCGGGTTTATCTTATCTTGTAATAAACATATTCTAACAATGTTCAGTTGAAACTTCAAGTACCATTAGACACGTTTGAATAAATGTTTATTCATATTGTATATGTCGTTTTCATTTTATATATGCAGTTTCGAGAAAGCTTAAAACGATGATGTTTGTAGACGATCTAAGCAGATCGTAATTTGTTCGTGTCGTTCGTTGGAAAAATCGATAGCGTGAAAGTAGCGATGTTATAGCTGCTACCGTGGGCGATCGGTAGACGTTCGGGAAATGACGTTGTGCGGATAACAAACGCTATTGTTCCAGGATGTTTGTTGCCTGTATGTTTCCCTTTATGCTCGTACACATTGACGATGTTACACCATGATACCCCACCGGCGCGTCTTCGTATGCTGTCGTCCGCTTTCGTGTCTCGTCAATTTGCAATAGTTGGTCTCAGATTCGATCAATTATCCGCGAGGATTTATATAAAACAATCGTGAATGCAGATCTGAAAGCGCCCACGATCAAAAACCCGATATTCGGTCCCACATATTCGCTTCAGTAACGTCGTCCCGGTCTAATAGCCTCTGTCTATCTGTCTATCAATCTATCTATCTTTCTATCTATCTATCCTCTATTTCTGTCAATACATACCCGGCAGCAAATCCGAGAGGAAAGCAACGTCAATTTCTCCCATACACAGACACGTACACACATGGAGACACTTTTATGCATACCCACGTGAAAAAAGTCCCTTTAAGGTTGTATTGCATCCACTGGATAGACCCATGCCTGCTGTCAACCCGAGTGGGTAAGTGCTCGTGTATTTCTCGTGGAGAGACTGGTTTACCAGACGATTACTTTCCAGACGGTAGTTTCTGTTAGAGACTTAGTATCTGGTGGGATAGTCGATTGTGGTATCTGTTAAGTGTATCGATCCTGCACTGTGACGAAGACGAGACGGTACGTTCTCTGTTTGTGTAGTTTCTTTTTACACAATCGAGGTTAATGCCAACATCTTGTTAGCCGATAGATTTAGCATGTAGATAGAGGCGCTTCTTCATTATTCAGATGTATAGAACCTAGACGAACCGACTGACCTCTACCCCCC